CTTTGTTAGATGGGGACGACTTGTAACCATCATAGGTTTAGTGTGAGGTTTAAATGACAATCCATTGAATGTGTTTGGCGAGTATTAGGCATGTACTAAGTGCTCAATAAATGTTACCTGTTATTATTAATTATTAATATGTTACCGACATTTGAAATATATACCAGACCCTTAGAAAGTGCAAGAGATGTAGAACAAAGTATGACGTACACACAGTCATTGATTTTTACTTAGAGGCTGTTCATTGTAAGAAACAGAAACTATTTTGGCGAGCTCAGGGAAGGGATGTACTTGAGAATCTCAGGGACACATGAAACGAAATACAGCCGGCCTTGTGCAGACCAGAACTTGGAAACCACTAGGAACAGAGCAGCCCTCTGGTTTCCCAGGGTGAACACGTTCTCTCTTCTGTTTCTAGATCCTCTTTCTCCTGCTTGGCCTTCTCTGCCTATCCATGACTCAACATGACTGCCAGCCATGACTGCTCTATATGACTTGGTAACTTCATCGTCCATCACAGACATGACAGAGAGTGAGAAACAGAGAGAGAAAAGAAAGAAGAGAAGGGAGGGGAAAGAAAGAAAGAACGAGGATCTAATTGGTCATTGGCCAGAAAAAAAGGGACTGGCTTTTTTGGGGTCATGTGTCCAGCTCTCGCCCAATCAGCTGTGACTATGGAAGGCAGGGGCACTTGAAACAAATATGTCCTTCTAGACCTGTGCTACCAAATTATGGGCTCCTTCTCAGTTGAGGTTTGTGGGGCAAGAGAGAAGCCATAAAGCATGTCTGCTCCTCCCTGCTCTTAAGAGAGTTCAGCATAGTTAGGGGATATCAGTAGAGGCAACCAGGACCTGAGAAGAGGCAAAGGGAGATCTAGGATCAACTGGAGAGAGTCTTAGAATCATTCTTTTTTTTTTTTTTTTTTAATAAATTTATTTATTTACTTATTTATTTTGGGCTGCTTTGGGTCTTTGTTGCTGTGCGCAGGCTTTCTCTAGTTGCGGCCAGCTGGGGCCACTGTTCGTTGCAGTGCACGGACTTCTCATTGCAGTGGCTTCTCTTGTTGCGGAGCACGGGCTCTAGGTGCATGGGCTTCAGTAGTTGTGGTGCCAGGGCTCAGTAGTTGTGGCGCACAGGCCTAGTTGCTCCGTGGCATGTGGGATCCTCCCGGACCGGGGCTCGAACCCATGTCCCCTGCACTGGCAGGCGGATTCTTAACCACTGCGCCACCAGGGAAGTCCTAGAATCATTCTTTAGTCAGAAGTGTCAAACTTGGAAGGAACCTTTGCAATCACTCAGGCTCACCCCACCCCCTGTTGGGGAAACAGGCCCAGGTCAGGAAGCTGTTTGGTGGCAGATCTCAGAGTAGAAAGCAGGGGCCGCTGGTTGTTGATTCGCTACATCATTCTTTCTTCCTTTGTTCCTGCTGTCCTTCCTGACTTAAAAAAAAAGTGGGCCCTTAAAGAAATGGCTTTGAGATCACTTTCTGCGTCTTGGGACTCCAGGAGGACTCTGACCACTTTCCATGGGACAATTTAAGATATCAGATTTGAACCACGTCACTTTTTTCCTGTCATCTTCCTCTTCCACCTCCTCTTCCTTCCCTTCCTCCTCCCTCCCTTCCTTCCAGTGGAAGCATACTGCACACACTGACTTTAAAAGAATTTTTTTTATTGAAGTATAGTTGACTTACAATGTTGTGTTAGTTTCTGGTGTACTGCAAAGTGATTCAGTTGTATATATATATATATATATATCCTTTTTCAGATTCTTTTCCATTATAGTTTATTACAAGATATTGAATGTATTTCCCTGTGCTATACAGTAAGACTTCGTTGTTTCTCTACTTTATATTTAGTAGTTTGTATCTGCTAATCCCAAACTCCCAATTTATCCCGTCCCTCCCCTTTGGTAACCCGTAAGTTTGTTTTTTATGTCTGATGCACTGACTTTTTATTTAACAATACATTAGGCATGTCATCACATGCCAACAAATATAATTGTATACCATAACATTATTTTTAATTACTATATTCCCTGGTATGTTGGACCATAATTTATAAAACAAATCCCCTTCAGATGGACACACTTAGGTTGTGTCTAGCCCTTCACCATTATTTTAGAAAGTGCTCTGATGAACATCCGGGTAGGTAATTCATCATCAGGGTACATTTTTAGAAAAGGAATTGCTGGTCAAAGGCTTGATGCTTACGTACAGGCATACTTTCTAGAAGAAGACAACACCATGGCTTCATTACCCAGAGCCAGGAAGTTCTTCAGCATTTGGACAGAGCTGTTGGCTGCTGCTGCCTCTGTGGCCAGCGTGCTGTGGCCTTATCCCAAGCAGGTGCTGCCGCAAAGGTCAGGCTTCTGAATCCCATCATTAGCCTCCCAGATCCCTGCTGCTGGGCTGAGGGGCCGGTTGAGCCAAATCCTTTTCAATAGGCAGGAACCAGAATACAGTCAGTTCCCAACCTTGGACAGTTCATCATATATGGAGAGATCTAGGATCAACTGGAGAGAGTCTTAGAATCATTCTTTTTGGACAGTTCATCATATATGGAGAGACCTAGGTCCGGGGAAATGGTTTATTGCAGCCAGGGAAGTGGTTTATTTACAGCTCCACACTTCTTCTGGCCCCAGGTACATTTTGCAGTTGCATTTCATCTTCTGGACCCACACCTGGACTCTCTTCTAAATACTCTCTGAATCAAGAGCAAGAGGTCAAGTGCAACAGAGATTTTATTTCTCCTGGTTTGAGATGTTCATGGACTAGGTTGGCTTTTGCAGCCTTGAGTTTGTGGCCGGGAGAAGGTAAAAGGTTCATGAGAGGTCAACTGTGAAATGCTTCCCCCACATTCAGGCCACTGGGAGAAATTACTTAGCAGTGATGTGGCCGGACCTCAAAATGGCAGGAGATGCTGACAGCAGGTGGAAGGTGGGCTTCTCTTGGTAGTTTCCATAGAGAGCTCCCCCACCTTCTAGTCAATCAATCAATCAGTTCTGTAAGTGTATACTGAGTGTTTATGAGCCCGGCATCGTATAAGCACTGAGAATGCAGCACTCTAGAAGTGTCTCAGAGAAATTTCCCTGGACATGGACTCTGAGGGAGAGCATGAACATGCAGCAGGTTAAGTAGGGAGCGCTTTGGGATCAACATCTGATGAGGGAAGGGACGAAGCAGGATTGGGTAGAGGGGGCAGTTGGGCTGTGGTACAGTCTGAATGGAAGACTCAGCCAACCTGCTGGGGGCTTCTGAAACTGGGTGTCCCTTTAGGGCTGTCCCAGGTCAGGGATGAGAGGCAGTCATTGGATGTGGGCAGCAGTGACCTTGGGTGAAACAGCTCTTTCCAGCTGAGGCAATCCTTGTAGGAACTCAGCAGTTGGGGGAGTAATCCTTCAGTCCTGAAGGAGCACCTTGGTGGTACAGCAGAGTCCAACAAAGTCCTCATGGGGCTCCACGGTGTAGTGAAACATGAGTGTTCTGGTTGGCGTTCATTCAAAAGCAGGGCCTGAGACAAGGACTTGGGTGTAGGTGTAGGTAGTGTATTCAGGAAACAACTCAGGAAGCAAGATGAGGGAATGGGGAGGTGAGACAGGGGAGGACAAAGAGGTGCATTACTGAGCAGGCCAACATTGTAGGCAACCTTCGGAGGAACCATGGAGAATGCACTTCAAAACTGTCCCCCCAAAGGACAGGACATATATGCCTGCTGCCGTCTGTCTCGCGTTGGTTGAGGGTTGCCCCTGGGGGCATGCACCACTCTGTACTTCTAGAAGGCACCTGTGAAGGCTGTTCCTGTGGCTTTGAGGCAGAAAACCAGAGAGTCAAGGGGGCATTTGATGTGTGATGTTGTCAGTGGACATGGCCTTATCCCCCATAGATGCGGCTGAAATCTGAGGTGGGTCAAGGAGGTGTGGCATGGGCCCTCATTTCCTGAGAAAAGATAGAATCTGCAACAGAACTGATGAGGAAATTAACCTTGTATGTGATAAGAGCTCTTAAAAGGGTATCTTCCCCATCCCTCTGTAGTCCTTTTGTGAAGATATCCACTTTAGAAAACCACATCATCTCCTCTTAAAAGTAACTAACTAGCTAACTAAGTATTAAGCACTTAACTTGTGCCAGGCATTGTACTAAGGTCTATCGAAGTCCTTCCAAGAGTTCTTCCTTTCTTTTTCCCAACTTTCCTCAAGTCCCAAAGTCCCCTCTTCTGTCTTCTGAAGTCCCAGTAGGTGACCTTGGCTTCTACTTTGCTTCAGAGGTTGGTGCCTTCACACCTGAAGTCCTTCAGGTGACCTTTTTACCTTTACACATGTCCTCACCACCATTTATTTCTGTCCTTCAAGCCTTGGAGGTAGAAGAATTTTTTTTTTTTTCTCCTACAAGCAAACCCACCTCTGTCCTTCATCCCACCTCTAGGCACTGCCTTTCAAGGTCTCACCCCCAAACTTCCTTTTTTTCTAGGACCTTTGATCTCTGCCTCTTCACAGATTTTTTCTTTGCCTGCAAATTTGTGTGTATGTGTATATGTATGTGTGTGTGTGTGTGTGTGTGTATATACACACACACATATATATACACATAGATAGCTAGATTAGATAGATAGATAGTATATATACACTCTTAAAAAAAGACCCCTTCCTTGGACTTGCTCTCCTATTTGGCTGCCTTATTCCCATTCTTCTTAAAAAATATTTGCAGCCTCCATTTCACCACTCACTCAATGCCAACGCCCTGCAAGTTTGCTTCCACACCCTACCCGACCCACATAGTCTGTTGAATCTGAACTTTCAGAGGCCACCAAAGATCTTGCAAAAACATTATCTATTCTCCTTCTCCACATTTCTCAGTTTTCTTCACTCCTGCAGGATGTTCCATCTTCTCCTTTAAAAAATCCGTCCTTTCTCTACTTTTCATGACACTGTTCTGTTATCTCAATAACCTTTCTTTATTCATCTTTTTTTTTTCCCACGCTGCGTGGCTTGTGGGGTCTTAGTTCCCTGACCAGGGATTGAACCCGGGCCCCAGCAGTGGAAGTGCTGAGTCCTAACCACTGGACTGCCAGGGAATTCCCCTCATCTTTCTCTTTCAAAACTCACTTCTTCCACTCTTCCAAGAGCAAGTTCTCTTCAAGATTTAAATGCTTATTAACTCGCTTCTTGCTAGCTACAGCAGTGGTTCTCAAGCCTGGCTGTACCTTAGACTCACCTGGGGAGTTTCTAAAAAATGCTGGTGTCCACAGAGAATTATTTTTAATTAATTAATTAATTTTTGGCTGCGTTGGATCTTTGTTGCTGCATGTGGGCTTTCTCTAGTTGCGGCGAGCGGGGGCTACTCTTGTTGCGGTGCACGGGCTTCTCTTTGCGGTGGCTCCTCTTGTTGTGGAGCACGGGTTCTAGGCATGCGGGCTTCAGTAGCTGTGGCACGCGGGCTCAGTAGTTGTGGCTCTTGGGCTGTAGAGCGCAGGCTCAGTAGTTGTGGTGCATGGGCTTAGTTGCTCTGCGGCATGTGGGATCTTCCCGGACCAGGGGTCAAACCCCTGTCCCCTCCATTGGCAGGTGGATTCTTTTTTTTTTTTTTTTAAATGTGATATTGTCTTTTTTTTCTTTTTCTTTACTGGAGTATAATTGCTTTACAATGGTGTGTTAGTTTGTTGCTTTATAACAAAGTGAATCAGCTATACATATACGTATATCCCCATATCTCTTCCCTCTTGCATCTCCCTCACTCCCACCCGGCAGGTGGATTCTTAACCACTATGCCACCAGGGAAGTCCCCACAGAGGATTTTTAGGGCAGAGAAACTATCCTAATTGATACTACAGCGGTGGATACCTGTCATTGTACATTTGTCAAAACTAGAATGTACAACACCAGAGTGAACCCTGATGTAAACTGTGGGCTTTGGGTGATAACGATGTGTCACTGTAGGTTCATCACTGTAACCAGTGAGCCACTCCTGTAGGGGGTGGTGGTGGTGAGGTGATTCTGCGCGTGGTGGGGAAGGTGGCACATGGCACTCTCTGTACTTTTTGCTTGATTTTGCTGTGAACTTACAACTGCTCTCAAGAATGAAGTCTACTGGGCTTCCCTGGTGTCTCAGTGGTTAAGAATCCACCTGCCAATTCAGAGGACACGGGTTTGAGCCTTGGTCCGGGAAGATCCCACGTGTCGCGGAGCAACTAAGCCTGTGCGCCACAACTGATGAGCCTGTGCTCTAGAGCCCGTGAGCCACAACTACTGAGCCCACGTGCCACAACTACTGAAACCTGCGCTCCTAGAGCCCGTGCTCCGCAACAAGAGAAGCCACCACAATGAGAAGCCCACGCACAGCAACAAAGAGTAGCCCCCACTTGCCGCAACTAGAGAAAGCCCGCGTGCAGCAACGAAGACCCAACACAGCCAAAAATAAATAAATAATAAATTAATTTTAAAAATTGAAATAATTTAAAAAATGAAGTCTATTAATTAAAAGTGCTGATGCCCAGGCCCCATGACCAGCGATTCTGATTTATTTGGCTCAGGTGATTCTAAGGTGCAACAAGGCTGAGAAATCCTGGGTAAGACTGTTTTCCTGAGGATCTTTCTCTCTGTCAGGATTCACTGATCACTTTGAAGCATGAAATTCCCACATTTAACTTTCCAACTCTGACCTTTTCCATGATTCCCAGGTTTACAACCTCCACTTGTATGAATGTGTCTGAGATCATATCAAACTCGACATCTTTTTCATTTTCTAGATTCCTCTTGTTGTCCCAGTTTTTGATCAGTGCACCGACCATTAGCTTGGCTGTTCAGGTTTTACAAACCTTAGAATCCCAGCATCAAGGATTCTTTGAGCTCAAATCTCTGACCTTTACCCCAAGCTGAAACCCCCTGGCCCCCTGTTCCCTGGCTCTGCTTGAAACTTTCTAACCATGGAAGCTCAGTCCTGGGCAAGGATCATCTCCTTTTCAAAAACACCTTTATTTTTTCTTATCATACAGCTGATACATGTGAATTGTAGAAAACAATACAAATAACTATTGGAAAGCATAAAGGAGAAATAAAAACCACCCGTAATACTATCACGCACCACTTACTGTTAATGTTTAGGTACCTAAAAATAAACAGAGAGAAAAAAGGTTACATTGTGAAATTTTTTTGTTATTTTTCACTTAGCATGACATCACGAATATTCCCCCATCATAAATACTCTTTCAGACCATTTAAAATAATTTTAATATTATTTTGTCTGCAAAAGTGGTCTCAAAGTCAAATACTGGAGAAGTCTGTGGAATAGAAAATAAAACTCTCCCCACTCTCTCCTGATAGATTATCCAGAGAGCAGTCTAAGGGGGTTCTCCCCACCCATTTATCTTTTTGGGACAAAGAATTTGATATTTCAAGGAGAGGATTTGTTGGCATTCCTTACGCTTATTTTCTGGATTTAAAACATTGGATCATATAATCTTCCCAGAGCCCAGGGCATCTAGAAGTTTTAACTGGCTCTTTGGGGTTACTCCACCCCTCTCTGTCACGACCTCCCTGGAGCTAACCATGCTAATAATTCCAACATGCTTTTTAATGGCTGTGGCAATCTTTCTTTTTAAGGGAGTTCTGATGGTTGGAAAGCTCTTCTTTATGTTGTGTTGAAAACTACTTCTTGTTCCTTTTCCTCTTGGCCCCAGGCTTTCTTTATGGAGCTAGAAAAACAAAGCAAAACAAAAATAACATAAACAAAAAAGCAAACAAAAATCCAAATACTAGGACAAGCCCTAGTGTATTTTTGACCTGCATTCTTGCCTCCCACTCCACCGAGGACTGATCTTCGGCTGCCTGTGGAGGCAGGACATGTTTAAGAGCACAGCTGTGTAGCCAGACCCCCTGGGTTCCTTGAGCAAGGTTCTTAGTTCTCCGTGAGCCTCAGTTTCCTCATCTGTGAAATGGAGATCATAACAGTACCTACTTCATCGGTTGCTGTGAGTATTAAGTAAGTCATGGGCCATTTAATAGACCTTTAGACCAGGCCTGGCATGTGCTGTCATCAAGTATCCACAGCGTCTGGATTCTTGACAGAAGAGAGGAAAGTGGCAGGATTGTCAGGCTCTGAGATTCTCACCTGGAAAACTCACCTGGATGCAGGGACCCTGTTTATGTTTGTTTCTTTGACTCAGAACTCATTTTGGTGATTAGTATTGCATGTCTGCCTGTGGCTGCAGGCCTAGAAACTGAAATTGTGAGAATGGTGAGAAATACACAGGGGGAGACATGGGGCCAGGCAAGGGAAGGCGCATAGCCAGGGTGGTGAACTCTGTGGAAGGGTGACAGAAGCAGGTGGTCTGATCTGGCAGCTGCTGGCCCCAATGCTCAGTAGCTGTGAACTTGGACAAACTGTGTAAGCCTCAATTTTATTTTCATCTGCAAAGTGGGTTCGTTAATGTGTGCTGAGGAATAATAATATGCCTTACCTCGATTACTCAGCTCTTATTTGATGCTTCCAGCTTCACTCCTTTAATTCTCATAACAACCCCATGAGACAAAAATCCACATCTTTATTCTACAGATGAGGACACTGGGGTACTGAGAGGCAGGTCACTTTCTCATATCTCCATACTCAGAAAGTGGCAGGGCTGGGATTGGAATCTAGGCAGGCTCTAGAGTCTGGGCTCTTAACCATCTCATTATGCTGATTAAATGAATAATAATAAGCCTACCGGGCTTCCCTGATGGTACAGTGGTTAAGAATCCGCCCGCCAATGCAGAAGACACGGGTTCGAGCCCTGGTCTGGGAAGATCCCACATGCCGCAGAGCAACTAAGCCTGTGCGCCACAACTACTGAGCCCGTGCTCTGCAACAAGAGAAGCCAGCTCAATGAGAAGCCCGTGTACCTCAACGAAGAGTAGCCCCCGCTCGCCGCAACTAGAGAAAGCCCGCGTGCAGCAACGAAGACCCAATGCAGCCATGAATAAATAAACTAATTAATTAATTAAAATAATAATAAGCCTATCACTTACTGAGCTTCTTCTCAGGTTGCTTTCTCTTCTTTAATCCTCATAACAACCTTGATTAAATGACTGGCCCCCGAAAGTCACCCAGTATGTGTGCAAGGATGCACTTCCCTTGGGTGGGAGCCTGCTTTGCTTTAGAGCAGGGGTCCTCATTGCTGCCTGCTCATTAGATACATGCAGGAACTCGTCAAAAATAACAGTGCCAGTGTTTGTGCACTGTTTCTGTTTTGTTGTATTCATGTGTTTGTTTAATTTTTTTAGATTCCACATATTAATGAAAACATACAGTATTTGTCTTTCTCCCTCTGACTCACTTCACTAAGCACAGTACCCTCCAGGTCCATCGATGTTGTTGCAGATGATGAAATTTCATTCTTTTTTATAGCTGAGTAATATTCCTCTCTCTCTCTCTCTCTGTGTGTGTGTGTGTGTGTGTGTGTGTGTGTGTGTGTGTGTGTGTGTGTTGTGTGTGTGTGTATCACATCTTCTTTATCCATTCATCTGTTGATGGGCACTTAGGTTGCTTCCATATCTTGGCTGTTGTGAATGATGCTGCTATGAACATTGGGGTGCATGTATCCTTTTGAATCAGAGAACAAACTAGTGGTTACCAGTGGGGAAAGGGGTGGGTGGCAAGATAGAGGAAAGGGATTAAGAGGTACAAATCACTAGGCATAAAATAAATAAGATACAAGGATGTAATATACAGCACAGGGAATAGAGCCAATATTTTGTAATAACTTTAAATGTAGTATAACCTATAAAAATATCGAATCACTATGTTGTACACCTGAAACTAATATAATACTGTAAATCAACTGTACTTCAAGTAAAAAAAAAATAACGATGCCAAGCCGCACACCAGAGCTTCTGATTCCGTTACCTTGGGGCATGGGGGCCCTGCATGGAGAGTTTCCAAAAGCACTCAGAGTGACTCCCGTCTGTAGGCAGGATTGAGAATGTGGTGGAGAGGGGTTTTTTACCCCCCTTCAGGCACTGGCTGCTCATTAAAACCATCTGGGACCTTCTAGATTCTGAGCTCATTGGTTTGAGCATCAGCCTTACTCACTGAGCTAAT